AACAAATCCAGAGCATTCAGGAGCAGAATCTAAAGTTAGAAGGAGGACATACTGGCTGCTGTATTGTTGTCAGAGAAGCCAGCACTTCAACATAGCATGTTTCCATAATGTCTGATTGTAATATGATATAGTCATATGCTGCTTTTAAAGGGCAACACTTCTTGTTTCAGCACGTCTTGCAGGAGTGTACAGAAACCCTAACAGCCTATTTCAAACCAGTCTTATACTACAGATACAGACGCCAATAACACATTGGCAAAAACAAACAACTACAAAAAAAGAAAAACAGACACAATTTGCAGACTGTTCCAACATATTTGTCTTTTGTCCTCATTGCAATGTAAATTGTGTTTGTTGTGTTCAAAAATTCATTAACAGCTGCACCGCATTGAATGAATTCACACATTCATGAAAGAGGAATGCTTTAAAATACCATTATCATCTTATCAAGTGGAAAAAAAAAAGAAAGAAATGAATGTTTCAGTGACTAATAGCAGTCATTTGCATTCGCCCTGACATTTCTTTTGGATGTATGACAGCATGAGGTAGAGCTTGAAAGGCTGAATTTTTATGCAGAATGACAAATCTGAGCTGGCAACCCTGAAATCAGCTCCGCGCTCGCATGACTTCACTGCTGGATGAAAATGTTCATCAAAGTAAGTTGAAGCTGTTGTGTGTTGCTGCGTATTGATATTCCAGGCGCAATGTGAAAGTGTGTTTGTACTCGTTTAAGAGTCTGCGTCGACGCCCCAGCAGAGAAATCTGGACCCCGATAATTACAGCTGAAGTGAGAGAGAAAGAGATAAACGGCTCACCTCCCACTTGTTGTCCTGCAGTTGTCTCTTTAGCCGGACGGTCCAGTTTTCAGGGGCAACCTCGGCACAATGGGCGATGGTCATGGCTATGGGACAGGAGAGGTCGAGGCCGGGCGGGCCGTACGTGACGGCGGGGCTCAGAAAGATCTCTGGAGCGTCATCAGACACAGCACTGCACACACAGAGGGACAGGAAAGCACAACAAACATCAAATGAGCTCAAGATGATTGGGTTGAATGAGCTACTTTACACAGCGTTTTACAAACAGTATTACCTTTACCTTCCATGCAAACTTAAAGAGGACATATGATCCCCCTCCTCCACCTGTAAAAATTAATGATCATAACTACGCATCAGAAATACAACCTTTGTTTTCTTTCCCTAATGAAACATCTGTGCTGTGCTTTGGTCAAAATATAACATGAATCAAGCACCAGAGGAGGTTTGTGACCCTGTATAAACCAGCTCTCTCAGAACGCTCCGTTTTGGTGTGTGTGTCTCTTTAAATGTAACAAGCCCCCCCTGAGTTTTCCTGGTAGACATCACTCATCTGTTAAGAGAATAAAAATTGCGGACCTGAGCAAAAGTTTTGTTCTAGGCCTGGGGTGAAGGTTTTTTTTTTTTTCTAGAATCCCACTGTGACATCACAAACTGAGTAAATTAGAAACAGAGCATTTTTCTCTGTGTTGTAAGACTTATGCAGACCACAAACAAAGGACTGGATGGGTTTATTTCACATTTTGTGGGTCAGTAGACACTCAGGTTAACCAAATATATGTTCAACAACTCTGTAGAAGTGGATTTTTCAAAATATGTCCCCTTTAAAAGTGTAATGTTCACATTTATCAGTTGATAAACTGAGTCTGAAATTGAAATCCTGATGTCTCTATTTCAGCCCATTTCTGACATTTCCTTTACGATTAAGCTTTTTTCAAAACCAGCTTTATCTGCTCGTTTGAACCTTGTGTTGGCTTTAACCCTCGGACGCAGAATTGGTCTGCTTCCCGTTGGACAGGCAGATATCAAACACGGCGGTTAGCTTGTGCTAGCATGCGGTAGCTCGCAGTGTATAGGTAGAAGCAGTAAACATACACACTACGCCCTGTAGTGGGCCCAGGAGGAGGGGTTTGAATGTTGTGTTTACAAGCTGCAATGAACAATGCTGCTGAGAGAAATGTACAGATTCTGTGGTATATGTTCATAACTCTATACACAAACTGTCCTCACTCTCTCCTGGTAGCTTTTTAGCTCCAAACATTGTTCCAGGGAGGGAACCATTTTTGACATAGAATTGTTTCACTTCTCTTTCAAATTTCACTACCAGATCTACGTAGTGCACCTTTAAAGCTCCCATGAGGATCTTTTGGTTTGTGTTGATTTTGGCGCCCTCCGGTGGACAAAGTGTGTGCACCTCTAATCTTTTTGCTCATCTTCTCCTGTACACGTCTACATCCTGCTTTTTTCAACAGTAGAAAAATCACTTTTTCAGAATCTCTAATGTGAAAAATTTAAATAAATTCTGCATCGTGCTGTTCATCTTCTCCTCTGACGCCTACCCCCCTTGGCAGCAGATACAGGCATTAAAATATAAGATACAGAAAAGGATCAATACTGCTGCGTACAGCGCCCTCTGCTTGTATAGGTCACTTCAAGGCATCGATATTAATTTCATAACCTGATGAAAAAACTCCTCACAGGAGCTTTAAATTCCTCTTCTCTGCATTTTAATACGACCAAGAAAAAAAGAGCCGGCCGCCTTTTACTTTTTGAGACAGTATGAACATGAAGACATAAACAGCACTGCCTTAATGAATCACTGCTTTAAACAGGGCGTCCGTGTAGCAGAGTGTGACCCTTGCCTTGGAACAAAGTAAACTCAAAATCCTCGGACGCTCATAATGAATCAATCCCTGACTAGCTGACACACAGACGCACAGATAGGGGGAAGATTAAAGCACCAAGACTAATGGACAGTGGGGCTGGGGAGGACAGGCTCTAGCACACAGCGTGTAAGCTCGGCGGGTCGATGGGGCTTATGAAGCCCTGCTCTGGCCGGCCCGGTGACAGATTAGCTGGGCCGAGCTGCTCTTGGCCGGGGGCCCAATCTTGGCTGGAAGCCCTGAAGACTGAGAGCAATCAATGGGACCACCATCAGTCATGCAGTTGGCCCGGCTGGACACCTCACACATACAGGACACAATATTGGTGGTGTTGTCACCGCAGCAGCGTGGATATTTTCTCAGAGTCATTAATACAGCTGCAGCGGGGGGACAAACTGTGACATGATGCATCACAAGACGTGTGAAGTGGAGCCACACGTGTACGCACACAAACATAGGAGACACCCGCAGAGTGAGAGAGAGAGAGAGAGAGAGAGTGTGGAGAGTGTGATTTTTTTATAGGTTCCACTTCTCATGTTGACACATAAAAAACTGAACCAGCTGACTCCATATATAACCCGGTCAATAGCCGTGTCCCAGTCCAATCTTGCACTCTGATTCTAAGTAGGTTTCCTGTCTTTGGTTTTACTCACAATGGAGCGGAAATAAAGTGAATAGCCTCCAACACAGAAGCAACAATATTACAACTGTTAGAGGGGGTGCTGCTGTTGCACACAGTTGTCACATGAGGAAGAAGAATTGATCATTCAAAAATAAAATCTCATTTGATCTTTTAGTCGTTTACGTTTATGTGATGTTTAAAGTTTTTTATGTTATGTCTTGCAAATGTTCAAATTTAAATCACACTATTATAAAAATGACAATCCACACTGATTCTGCACCCCTGGTTTTTCCTTTTAACTATCCCTTAAACTGTAAAGGTGTCGAACTTGAACTCGGTCTTTCTCGGGATCTGAAGCATGCTTACTCGGTCTTGTCTCGGTCTCAGACTGTCTGGACTCTAGATTTTAAATCAAGACCACCACTGACTGATTGGTTATTTTTCCTGATCATTACTGTGATTTGAAGGAAAACACCTCTCTCTCTAAAAGAACAAATATCTTTAATTCATTTAATTCATTCAGTCCCTCGGTTACGACTGCAAACTTCCTGCTGAGATTTATGGTCTTAGTCTCGTCATGGTCTTGCCCTGCCTTGGTCTTGGTCTTGACTCGAGCTCAATCCCTGAATGTCTCAGTCTTGTCTCGGTCTTGGAGCACTCTGGTCTCAGGTATGTCTTGGTCTTGACTTGGCCTCCATCCCTAAATGTCTTGGTCTTGACTCAGTCTCGGAGCACTCTTACTCGGGTAAGTCTTGGTCTTGGTCTTGGCCTTGACTCGGTCTCAATCCCTAAATGTCTCGGCCTCGTCTTGGTCTCGGAGCACTCTGGTCTCAGGTATGTCTCGGTCTCGGTTAGTGTTGTCTTGACTACAACACTTTTAAACTCGTCTGTGCACGTCAGCAGAATAAAGAAACACAAGTACTTCTTTTAAAACCAGTTTAAAAAGCCCTTCTGCAGGGGAAGGATTTTTTAAGTATTTCCATTCCTGCAACAATTACCTGAAAGAAACACAACATTTTCTGTGTTAAAAAATAAAGAGGTGTGAGGGTGAGGTGTGTGTGTGAGTGTGTGAGTGTGTGTGTGTGTGTGTGTGTGTGTGGTTTCTTATTGTGAATGTAGCGTTCCTAGGAAACGCGGCATGTGGCTGATGACGTTGTGCTCCTGATATTTTAACATTTTCTGCACACTACTATTTCATGAAACTCTATTCTGTTCCACTCTTCCCTCTGTCCATTGGGTTCTCGGTTCCTCAGTTACCAATCAACACTAAAAAATTTAAAGAGGTTACGATCTGCTGTCTAAAAATAAGAATCACACACCCAGAGAGCGGCGTGGCCCTGCAGCTTCACTTTTGTGCTAATCAGCCCCCGCGGCTCAGAGGAAACCAAGGTTACCTGCTGCCGAAGCTATGCTAATTAGCCCCATTTCCTGTGAGCAAGATTAAAGGTGGTTATTTAGCTTCTCTGATTGTGCTTATGAGAACAAAGAGTTATCACTGCACAACAATGGTTAATGTGTAGATGGGTAATTGGGGTTATTAGTGAAGTCTCCCAATCGCACAACAAAACACACCTCTTTCTATTATTCACCCCCCCCATCTCCCAACACAATAATTAAGAACATTTTGACATTTCCTCATTCCTATTCAACACTGTGTTTCCAGCTATTACAGTAGCAGTAATCGGAAATTTACCAATTAAAGACCTGACACTGAACTCTGAAGGTTTCATTTGAAGAGTCACTCGACTGAAACTAAAATAATTAACAAAACCCTGAAAGGAACAATGTGCGAAATATTACACAGAAATAAATCATAAAGTCTGTCCTGTGTAAATGTGTCTCTGAGTCCTGACTGTCTACAATGAGGGAGAAGCTCGAGTCCCGCTGGCTGTGTTGTTGTCAGAGCCGTGTTTACATGGACGGGACGGCCGGCTCCTCCCCTTGTGTATAAAAGCTGTTTTAGTCAAGAACTAGAGAGAAGAAGAAGAACATACTCACTGATTATTTGGATGTTAGTAAGAGTTTTTAGATCACGCTCATTCTGTGTCAGTTTACATGAAATGTGAAGCTACGAGCTAACTAAAGAGCGCTAACATTAGCATGCTAACACAACAATGCAGGACACAGATGATGTGAAGCTACGAGCTGACTAAAGAGCTCCTTTGTGAGATGCGAGTTGATGGGGGTTGGAGGTGTGTCTCTGGAGGAGAGCGGAGGCTTCAGTACGGAGGAGGCGTGGCCAAACAAGCAGTTTGTTTTGGTTTCACGCTGGAGCTCAAGGGCGACATCTACTGGATCAAAAAGTCGCACATTCTTCCGAATTTTGAAAGAACCTCATAGTGCTCTATGAGAAGTGGGTGATTTCAGACACAGCCTGTATATTGATAACAGAGCGGATAACCATTATACACACAGCGGTCTCAACTCGTCAATCACAGGAAGCCACGCCCTGAATCACATCCCGCTTTAGCATCCACATGGCTTTAAACGGTTCCAGATATTCTTTTTGAAAGATTCAGTTTCTTTCTTACAAAAGGAAAGCTGAAGTGAGACGAGGAATGTGAGGAGGAGGAGGAGAGATGCACCAGAGGGACTCAGGTTGGAGTTCAACCTGCGGCCGATGCAGCAAAGCCTTTGCCTCTGTTCATGGAGCGCCTGAGACAAACAGGC